AGGTCCGCTGAGGAGGCTTCGGAGCATGATAGTCAGATTCTTTGGGGTGCATTACATGGAATACTATCTTTTCCCAGAGAATCGACATCAATTTTGGGACCTAAGAGAAATTATGGAGGGGGGTACGGGTGCTGCCTCTTTCCTTGAAAAATCATTTTTGGGCCAAGAGTGGGCCGATTTTGGATTTATAGGGGTCAATATACAGCAAAATTTCCCGAAATGTTCAATTTTAATGCAACTGAATTGCAATTCGGTTGGAAACCTTAACTTAAAGGATCATGACTCCCCCCTTCAACCTGGGGGCTGTGAGAGGGGGGGGGGGTTCTGGCCCATGAAATTTGGACTCCTTGGGGTTCATTGCCTTTTCAACTTCCCGGTCTCTGACTTCAAGCTACCTAAAACAAGCGGGAAAGAAGCCTGGTACGAGCGGTCTTAGCCAGTTTTACACTAATTACACCCTGTATATGTATAATTAGCCTAAAATATTAGAATAATCTGGTGCTGGCGATGTGAGAGATTTGGATTACATTTTGCAATAAGGGACCTCTATTTCTGGCTCTTCTATAAGAGCACATTTCTGTATACAGAAACCAATGGCACATCTGTTGTTTCTAAAATGAGCCAGAAATAGTGGTTCCTTATTGCAATCTGTGGTCTATTTGTGGACAAAATAATATGAGATATTACTGAAATTTAATGGGGCCAATTAGAAATTGGAGTCGGATAATTATAGGTTATAAAAAATGCTTGAAGCAGGAGAGAAAATCTGACACTGAATATTGGTGAAAAAAGAAACTTACTGTGTTTTTTCTTTGGTGGCAGTGGTGGCGGGTTTAAAGAATCTGCTGGGCTATGAGTCATGCGGGTCATCATCATAGAGGTGCAAGTGGGCTCCAGCGGGTGATCAGGCTGATGCTTACGTCTCATTTTTTCCGGTAGAGCAGGCAGAGAGGAAGAAGGGGATGAGCCATTAGAATGATAAGATACGGAGTTTGATTGGGATAAGACATTTGAGACACTGTGCAGCTGCGTCATGGACGATGATGATGATGAACAAGTCATGAATGCATTTAATGACTGCGATGTCGACGATGAGAAGTTGTGTGATGACATTTGAACGGATGTAAAAGCTTTGGAGACCTTCTCTGTGTGGATCACTGTAAGATGGTTTGATGAAAATTTTTAGTTATAAAAGGGTGCATTTTTAAAAACAGCTTGAAGGATACAATCATATTTTGAAAAATTGCAAACTAGGTTTTATATTGGTGATGCAATAAAGTCACATTATTCAGAAGCAAATTTCTCATATTTCACTAAAAAATAAACATATGGTCAAAAGCTGCTTCAACTGTATTCGATTCTGATGCAGAAACTCTCACCCTGATAGAGCTTCCTTTGTCAAAGCTTCATCAATTTTTGCTCAAGAAAAATTTGCAAGACGTGTATCCAAATATTTCTGTAGCGTTAGATATATACATTTGCGTGCAGGTGACAAATTGCTTGGCAGGGCTATCATTGTCCACTATGGGGCGAGTGGACGATTATTTAGGGACATCTCAACGGCCAGAGAGGCTTGTGAATGTCACTATCATACCAATCGAATCGGACATCACTATGCAACAGGAATTTAAAGACATTATAGAGGAGTTTGCACGTGCCAAAGCCAGAGAGAAGAATTTCTAGAACTTTTAATGCCTCAGTGAAACTCTCTACTCCTCAAATTTTCTCTGTTTTCATCTTTGATCCGTAGGTTGATCAAAAATTTCTACATTGATGCCCAAAGTGCTCTTTCTTTGGAAAATTAGTCAACGTAATTTCTTGAAAACTTCCTTGATATTTTATAAAATAAAAGTATAATAACTTTATAAGCAGAATATCCTATAGCGATTTCAAGCATAAAGTTGGCTTGTTTCTATTTGAGGAAATAAAATAGAGGAGAAAATTCAAAATCGCCGCAGTGGAGATACGTGGTTTTGCACTTCAGCATCGACATATAATTTAATATTTTACCATGTTTAATTCACCGTTTCTCATTTTATATTTCACTAGCAGTAAGTATACCTGTGCTTCACACGAGATGCTACCTTATATAAGGTAGCAAGATTCCTCTCCGTCATTGTTCTCCAGGAGCTCCACCGGAGAGCTCTCCAGGAGAGGCGTTGTTTGAGAGGATTCTTGGAGACAAATCCTGGAAGCAGGTAGGACCCAGATTCTACCGCCACTCAGAACCAGGATTTACGCAAATCCTGAAGCATGTCCTGGAGTTAGGTTCTGCACAGCAAGGATCCCGCACGTGAGCACCCCGTTGACGTCGGCCATATTTGTAGGTAAAGGTTAGTTTACAAATAACGTCTCAGCAGCCTCTCGTTTCACTTTTGTGTCAAAACTCAGTTGAATTAGTTGCTGGTTTATCAATACTGAACTTATTTTGTGGACGTGCAAATATCGTAGGAATGTGATAGTATCCGTTCCGCTGCTGGTGAAAGCCTTTAAGTAAGTACACAGTTTTACACTGTTTTTGTGTTTCTTTTGTGTACAATTTTGATAAGTTTCAAAGCGGTGTCTTCTAAATTAACCTAATTGCATAGAAATGTGCACACTAAAGTCAAGGAAAGTCTAAATGTATTTTCTCCTATTTATTTCAGATTTCGTCAAATTACACAAGACTTCTAACAACTGTCCTGAAATGAAAAACTCCGGGAAGCTCGCGAAAATTGGTTGAAGTATCTAGGTCAAAATAAGTCGCTGGTAGAGGAAATGAATGGGTGATTAGCTTTCGCAAGAGTTGCCAATCATCTATGCAGTGTTTGAAAATGAGTGTCAGTTCCTTGTGGTGAGAGTTTTATAGGCACTCATATATTTTGTTTTAATTATTTGTCCCAGCTCTAAGTTCACAGTTACAAATTCTCTTCATTGTGATTAAAAAATAATTTATTATGCTCGGTTATAAAATTCAGCGAGTGTACTCTCTCGGTTTTTTTCTTAATCTTTCCTACAACTTGAGCTCATTCAATAATATTTGGACCCTGTAAGCCTTTCTCCAAATCTTAAAGTTACTGGTGTTTGTGTTCCACATTCATTTAATTTTACAATGGGCCACTTTTTACGGTCATTACTTGCGGTTTAATGCTTTGGGCCCAAGTCTTGTTGGTTTACTGTCAACCGCAAGTTGAGGAACCTAATCTCTGAATTTGACTTCAAGTCGCAAATATTTTATATTTCAAACTGAAGCTGTGCGAAAGTTGAACTTTTTCTATGGCGCTTTGAGCCATCCTTGGTTCCTAAACGGTGCAAGCCATTAATCAGCAATCGAAAAACAAGGTCAACATTCTTGTCGCAACTTTCAGCTGTACGCAAAACTGGTCAACAAAATTCAGGCCTTGATCTGCTTTTAAGACTCTGTTTGGGATTTAATTGTACTCTGTTTAAGGAAAATAAAAATTGAACATTGTTAAATTAAAAATGGGTGTCCATTTCCTTAAGGATCTACTCTTGCTTGATCTTGGATCTTGTCCAAGTACCTAGTTAATTAACTAAGAATTTTTTCCATGATAAATCAATGGCTGAGAATATAAGTTGTATTATGTATAAGGCTTTTGACTGTTTCAGGGTCTCTATATGAGGCGTTGAGGTGAGCAACCGTTCCCAATTTTTAGATGACTATGAGATACTACTAATAAAGTAATTTAAAGTATAAATAACTGAAAAGTTTTGATGTTGTATTACGGCAAGAAGCTGATATTGAAAGCTTGCAATGATCCATTAATCTTTAACTCTCCCACTTACATGGATGTTTGATATGTGACGTTGACCCCTGATTTTCTGTATTTTCACTTACATGGCCTCATTACTTTGGGTCCAAAATAGTATTTTTTAAATTGCAAGCATTTCAATCAAATTTTAGCATACACCAGGTACGGAATGTTTTATTTAAAAAAAATTATTTTATCTGTTGTTACTCTTTGTTGAGGATTTTAGGGTTATTTTATTTTTTTTTTTTTTTAAATTCAAAATTTCTTTCCTGATATATGGTAAAATTTGATTTGAGTGTTTGCAATTGGAAAAATACTATTTTGAACTTAATGTTAAGCGAGCACATACGTGAGTAAAAACACATTTTAGGGATGAACAAGTTTTCAAAGCAGCTCCTTGTAGGGAAGATAATAATTTTTTTAATAATCATGGTTTCTGCACAAGAAATGCTTGAGAAAAATTCGTTCTTTTCTTTTCAAAGTTATCTTTATTAAATTAGGGAGAAGGAGTAGAGTGGCATGGAAGAGGTCTGGAAAGAAAAAACTGTAACTGCCCACACTAACTTGGACACCTTTTACATTCAACATTAGCCTCTTCCTAATTTTGAAAAATTCCGAAATTAAAAATTAACTGCAAAGGAAACTAAATGAACGGATTTTTCCCGTGCATTTCTTGGGAAAATATTGAGAATGCACGGGTCTGACCCGGATTCAATTGGACCGAGAGAAGAAACCGGTTCAACCCCTGCCGGCGATGCCGCACGGTGAATCGAGTCAATGGGAGAGGTCAGTCATCGCGCAACACGCGTATTATTTTCGCTGATTCCAGAGATTTCCTGCCCTTAGAATAGAGCAAATTTCCACAACCTGCTGTATTTTTCGTCGTAGATTCCATTTTTGAACATACTTTAGCCGAATAACGAGTTTTAATATGATTTTGACACACTTTGTCATGACTTTTGAAAATGGGATCCTTGATAGCTTATTTTTCACGTTACTTTCGGCGAATGGGACCGTAGGCGTCCTACATAAAGAAGAATTTTGCAGAACTTGACTCAAAGACATTACTTGAGGAGTAAGAGCGGGCAGCTTCATAGGCCCCTCACCATGAAGGTTGCCATATTTCTTTCAATTTCTGCTAACATTGTTTTTTGTTCATGTTAATTGGTTTCTCGCAATTTGCATACTGACACATATACGGAACATTCTGATAATGTCAATTTTTCTTCTCTTTTCCTCCAGCCAGTTAATAGACGTTTTCATCTTTGTGAACCCTCTACTCTTTCAGTTATTCAACAAATATGCATATTTCAAAAAATAGATCAATATATTAAAGAAATAAAAAAGAGAGATGTATATACTGTAGCTTCTTTTTATCGAGTCATCCTAGCAAATTATTATAGACACTTGCCACAAGATATAAAGAATTGAATGTGCAGTAAGATAAAAAAAAAAAAAAAACATGCATTTCATCTTCCATTATTTCGTTTTGTTTCTCGGAGTTTGGAGTGAAGTTTGAATCAATTTTATTGAAAAAATATTAAAATAGGAGGAAATTTATTTTTCATGCAAGTTCTGATCCCTTGAAGAACCTCTGAGAAGGACCAGTGTCTCTTGACGAAATTTATTGTTCTTCTTTTTCAACCCACAACCGATTTTTTATTTGTACGGAGCTCATGGAAGAGTTCTAGGTATGTTGAAGAAATTTAGCAAGAAACGGGACATATGAAATATACAATGCGCAAAACATACATCTTAAACATTATCGCACAGTATGACACTGATCGAATTAGCTTCATAGACTAACAGGAGGTTAATGTCTCGTCAAAACATCAACAAATCAGCCAAAATCAGTAATCAGTAGACAAATTACCGAGATTGAAGGATATCGTGTGATGCACGATTTTATTGATGACATTAGAGCAAGATCGGATTCCCAGCAGGCCTGACTTCCTATCATTCAAATGGACCGTTTCCGTAGATTAGCGGATATTAGCGGCTAATTATTACATAATATCATTCCTGATAGTGTACAAGAAGCAACCCAACTAAGGATTTTGCGGACACTTGTGAACATTTTTTTATCGAACTATCTTAACATTTTTTTGAGCGTTTTTTTAATGCAAGTTTTGGAGGTGGTTTTGATCATCCTAAAAATATGCAAATGCACATTAATGATATACCAAAATATTCCTTTAAGGGAGGAGAATAAGCAAGTTTAATTAAAATTTTGATTTATCTGCCACAGAACTCATGCAAAAGCGAAATAAAACCTTGAGAATCAGACGGCAAATTTGATACTACCTGCAATGTCAGCTTTAGGCAACCTGCATATCAAAGCGGAAGGGTTCAAAGACCCTTAAACCATGGATACATTCATTGCGGAGGCTTAACTACCAGAAAAC